AATGACACCTAATTTTTGTGCACCCAGAATCTCAGGTATGCATACGCAAATCAAAGAGGCTGCTTGTGCAAATCTGAATTTGGGGGTGTGCAAAGCTTACCAAAATGACAAAGTCAATAATTTACCCAATTTTTTGAAAGTGTAGAGCCCAGACTTCAGAGAGGTGACATGCTTTTTGTCAGGTGCTGACTCAATGAATGTAGAAGGCATTCAACAACTTGCAAGATGGAACCCTACATATGCAGATCTCACAGTGGTTCAAATCAGGAGCAACTCCACTCAAGTCAGTGAAGATACATTAGTATAATTGTGGTATAGCTGAAATCAGAATTAGGCCTAATATGTTTACCTTGGATTGTACTAGAGATATAAAATGTAAATCAATGATTCACCCTAGGGATTATTTTGACAAAACCATGTGAAATTCTGTCTTTAGATAATTAGTCTTGAAGGCCTCTGTGGAATGTTGTCATTATTCATTTTACACAGGCAAAGCCAACATTTTCAGAAATTTACTTCTATTTATACTACAACAAAGAGAGATTGTCTGCATTGGCTCCGTCTATAACAATTCTGCATTTCAATCAGAAATGAAGTTATAAACAGGAAAATATAATCTGCATTTGAGGGTCAAATTCTCCTACAAGTTTTGCTCTTGTAAATATGGAGTTACTCTGCTGATGTAAATGAAATTATTCCTATTTACATTGGTGTAATTAAGACCAGAACCTGACCCTTAGTTACCAGTGTAAAAAGACAGATTCTCCACTTATTTGCATCATCATAAATCAGGAGTAACTCCATTGCAGCCAACACAGTAACACTGGTTTACAACTAGTGTAAGAAGAAAATCAGGGACACCTCGGTCTAGCAAGTTTGTGAAGTACTGCGATGGGACAAACTTATTACAGTATGGTAGTAAACGTTTTTTTAGTGATCTCCTCCACAATGATCTCTTCCATTAGAAGTACAGTTGCAAAATCAGTTTAGAAACTGTATCCTTGTAGCTGCATTTGCTGTACAAACAGCCACATAGAAAACTATTTTGATTTTATAACTTCTTTTTTACTAGGCAGAAAATAAGAGCCAGAGCTTCAATGGTGGGTCTTTAAAGTAGGTGTGGATGAAAGTAAGTGTGTTGTGAGACTCTGAGGAGTTACTCTGAAAGATCATCAAAGAAAACATTTTATTAAAGGCAGCATATCATTGAGGGAATTCATGAAATGCCACTTATGCGCTATAAGAAAAACTGGGCAGCATAAAGAATACACGCACGTGCCTATACATATCTTGGAGACTAGGTAAAAGCACAACCCAAGTGATAAGCAATATTGCAAAGTGAAGCCAAAGAGAATACAGTGACATATCACGTGCACACTGCACAAATCTAATGCTGATCACTTCATGAGGCGATACAAAATCATGGTGATACAAAACTAGATTTTCCCCTAGCAGAGGGAAAAGATGCTGGTGTGGTGGCAGAGGGAGGGGTCAGTTACAGATAAAGGACCCACTGGGAAATTCAGACTACACTGTCAGTGTACTAGCTCCTGTCTGAGACTGATGACCCAATTATGCAGGTCTTACTCAGACAAAACTCCACATGGACCTCAAGTGGGTATTTGGAGTCACTCACGCCAGAAGACTTGGTTTAAGTCTGAATAGTATGGCTGTCTATATCGTGGAGGCACTGTCATGGCTTGGATTCCAGAATAGACAGCTGGTGCTGAGTTATGTGCTGGGAAGTACGTTGGAGGGGAATTCAGGAATGAGAAATAAACGGAGGATGAAATTCTGACTTCAAATCTGGAGACACTCCATTGAAAGAATTAGTCCAGATTTACCCATGTGCAACTAAGAGCAGGATTTGGCCTTAATTCTGCACAAACTGGGACGGGGGGAAAGGAAGTAAAAAGAGAAACAGAAGGCAAATAGTATTTGTGTACACATAAATCAAGTAACTATAAAAAGACGAAGCTGCAAATATATAGACTGGAATGCTTGCCCTCAGTCATAACCATCACAACTTTTAAGACTATGTAACCAAATGCCCTAAGCCTAACCTAACACACTCATATAACCCACGCGTCATAACACAGAGGGCAACTCTGCTGCGTGTGAAATGGATGTTGTGACAAGTCACTGTCGATTTATACTGCACCACTCACAGAGAAAGGGATTGCCATATTGCCCAAGCACCGCAAGGTTCTGACATGTTGTACCATGCTAAACAGCATACCCAGATGTGGGAGTAAAGTAATAAATAATCATGTTGGTTTTTGTTTCCCCCTCCAGACAAAAGAGTAGTTTGCATTTACTTAATTATGAGCGGCAAGCAAACTATATAGTATCATGTATGTGATTACTTTCCAGTATTAAGTGCTAAATAGTCAGAGATCTGGTTCTAATTAATCATGTCTTTTCCTGTTCTTTTTCCAAAACAGTGAACATTGCCCATCAATTCTTGTTCAGTAACATATGCCTCTGTGCATTCATATTTTGTGCAGGGAAAAGAACCTTTCTTTCTTGGATTTTACTTTTGATCGCCTATCACATAACGTTTTGCATCTTACAGACAATGGAAGTGTGAATGGAAAGGATTTGAATGACTTCATTCAGGCACAAAAGTAGCATATTCCTCCTCATATGTTGACACTGTGCAACGCTGCTCTTTGTTATTAAAGTTTTTAACAAATTCTTACATCTCCAAACCAGCTTTGGGGTTTAGTTAGAAAGTGTGAAAGGACACAGTCCCATTGTGTTGCATCTCTATAAGCCCTTTGTTACTAGTCAACAAAGTCTTTAAATGCCCTGCCGAATGGGAATTTTGCCAAACAGCAAACCAGCTACTTGGCCTTATTAAGGGCACCTCCTACTGGTCCTTTCATAGAGTGAATTATGCTTTCTTCGCTATCAGTCCCCTGCTAGGTTTCTGAACAGAGAAAATAGCTACTAAGAAGAGTAGTGGAAACTCAGAGATTAATGAGCAGAGGCCAAAGCCACTAGAACAACATTTCCTTAAAGACGCAGGATTTCTTTTCTTTTCTTTTGTCAGCTGAATCCAGAGATTGTGAAAAGGGGGCTCAAAACAACAATCTCAGGAAGGATCTGGAGGCTAACCATAGGGAAAACTTTGCACAATTCTAGCTTGCAAAGGACAGATCAGGGAACTTGGTACAACACAGAGATGCATGTCTCCAAAAAGCAGTGCAATAAATACACATTATACATAGAGAGTGAAATGCACAACCAAAATGTACCAAAAAAAAATTATACAGCTAGGAAACAACCTGCTCCTGTAATGAGTTTTCTGCGTAATATCAGACATCATTTCTCCCGCCCCCCATCATTAAGGCAGTGTGTATCCTCACTCCCTTCCTCTCTCTTGCACGCACACACGACCCCAACTCGCCATATGCCCGCAAGAAGTCTGCAAGTCAATCATCATTCCAGAAGGAGGATCACTGACATGTCTCCCATCTACTAGCCTTTAAGGTGGAAATACAAGAGAGACACCTATTATCCTGCTCTGATTGCCCAAGTCCCACCTTCCATGCAAGTAATTGCAGAGGACATTGCTGAGGGACACACACACACACAATGAACCTTCTTGTATTTAACAGAAGCATCTTCCCAATTCACTTACTAGCTCTCCAAAACAAGCCAAACATACATATATACATATATATATATATATATGTTATATATATATATTATATATATATATTTAAAGGAAGCATCATCTATAGGAACAATTTAAGGCATTTCTATTTGCATACAGCTGATATTCTGAATGATACTAGTCTAGGGTAAAGATCTTTTTGCAAAGGCTTTCATATGCAGCACTTTCTCCATCACAAAAAAAAGCTGCTTTAGTGGCGTGTGTGTGTGTGTGTGTGTGTGTGTGTGTGTGTGTGTGTGTGTGTG